TGCAGGTTTTTGTCATCAAATACAGTCAAGTATAGGTCGAGGTATTCACGCTCCATAAATGGTCGTCCCCTGGCGTTCAAAAGGTAGTATGAACAGAGAAGTCATCGTCCCTTCATCGTCCAGTTGACATTTGCGATCCAAGAAATGGTCGTCCCCTCTTCCGGTTTATTATTGAGCACATATCAACCATTCATCACTTTTCAATCTGGGCATTCACGATGTTCATGCTCCAGCTTGAGGGGGAGAATAGGAGGTCAACATACGTCGGTCGACTACCTCAGTCATCAGGTCGACCGCGATGTACCAGGTGTGTTCAAGTTCAAGAGACGTAGTCAATCGTCTCCATCATCAGGTTGTTCAGAGAGAGAGTCAGTCGTCTCCCATCAACCTCGTCCGAGATGTTATTCATCTCGAGTTTTGTGGTTCAAGCCATCATGCTTGTTCTTTACATTTACTTCTTCAAGCTCGACATTCTTGTCATTCATGTCTTCGCTTGAGGGGGAGTGTTGCGGTTACTTAAATCGTGTTAGTATTGGGCCTTGTTGGGCCTCGTCTGATTCGTTGGATTAGGGTTTTAACCCTAAGTTTATCTATATAAGCTTAGCTATCGACTTGTGTGATAGCAAACCGTCACAATGTAAACCTAATAAGAGATCAGTCGTGAGCTCTTCAGAGCTCACCGTGGATTAGTCTCGATCAATCAATCGATCGAGGATACCACGTAAAACTCTCGTGTTCTGTGTTTGTTTCCTTCCGCGTTATCAAATTCTACAGATTTTGAGTGTCGAATTGGGTAAGTTTGTTTGTAGGATCAGTTTAGAATAGTCTCATTTTTTAGCCCTATAAGGGTTGGGCATGATTGGGTTGTTTTTATTCCAATTTCATATAGAAGCAATCAGTGATATGAAATTTCTCGTACCAACATTGAGGATATTTGTAACGTGTTTACAAGTTTAGATACTATAATGCAAGGTAAAAAACTTATAAAAGTACTAACATGTAATTTTACCACAAATTTCTAAACCTTTTTGTAAAAAAATAAACTTTGGTACTAAATTGTAAGAAAAAATAAGGTTGGGTGCCAAAATATAATTTTTCAAAAAATAATGTGCTTATTTATGTGAGTCGACCCATTAGCTCGGTCATTGCCCCACTAATACAGTCGTACATTCCAAAGAGGGTCAAAGGAGTACATGATTGGGGTGAGTAAGTTGGATGCTTGACCCTATATGACCGAGTTTTTTTAGGATAATGACGGGGTCAAGGTTGGTTTGGCCCATTTCCCCCTACTTCTCATAGTACTGTGAGCATGTATTCGTAGGAGTTGGGTGTTGTTGGATTGAGCACAGAGCTTTTGTGACCATTGCATAATGCAGTGACAATTTTATGAATAATTGTTATTTCGTTTATTTAACAAATGCAAAGAGTTCAACACTCAATCAAAGACTTAATCATTTCATTTGTCGTATGTTTTTTGTGTTTGAATGTCTTGTTAGGGAGGGGGATGCTAATCTTTGAAGAAAGGATCGGTCGATGACCTGACTTGACTTCCCTTAGTTGCCTATCACCAAGAGCCAACCCAGAAAAAGGCTTCAGTAGACGAAAAGCATTGGCACCGGCAGTTGCATTTACAGATCATGGGAGTAGGTGGTGAAAGGTAAAGTCGAATTCTTTGACTATAACTTAAATACAAATGGACTGTGAGTATCGTCACCGGTACGATTGCCAAAGGGAAGGGAAGGAAGATAATTTTGATTGAGCTGTAGGGATAATAATAATGAATATTACGGGACATGCAGGGCCGGTGTGATCTCCTCATTATTTAATTTCAATGATTTTGCGTATCATATATGCATAGTGTAGGTATGTTTTTCTCTGCTTTGCCTTTTTTTTATTATGTAGTTTCTTTACACATAAAAATGATATCTATTTGACATATATGAGACCCAACCACCCCACGTTTTTCATCATTTTCACTGATATCGGTATTATCTATATTTCTGTACCTTTTAAGGCCAAGACTATGTACTGCCAATACACTATTTCCATACGACTGGTACGATTGACTTTCGTGGCTGGATTGGAGATATGAAGCTCACGAATCACAGCGTTCATTCATGGTCTTGTCTTGGTTCACAGGTGGAACAAACAAGGTGGAAACCTATGTTAATGATGCTTGGATGGGACTTGGGAGCTCTCAAGAGTAGTTTTGCTCGTACTATCATCATCTCCTGATTTTGGTGAAGCTCCTAATGGGTTTCATGAGGCCCAAAGGGCAGAAGATATTATTATTATTTTATTTTATTTTATTTTTCTACATATAAAGATAAACGGGTTTTACTGTTCATTAAGAATATTTGGGGTGCTCAATAATGGATTTGGCCTGCTTATGGGGTTTTTTATAGTTTTTTTTCTCTCTGGATCAAATTTCAATTATTGTGAAGTGGAAGAACACTGAATGCATTTTAATTTTAGGAAACCGTGAATAATAGTAGGAATAGAAAAGAGAAAAGGAATGTGGTGAGTGGTGGCGAGAGTGAGAGACACCCACACCTAGCCTAGGAGTCAGTAGCGGGTTAGTCCAATCCCACCATCGCATTGGATCGCAGTGATGTTTGGATCGGACCATATTGAAACGAATATAATGTAGTTCAATCCTTATTTATCATAAATTTTATAAATAATAAAGAAAATGGATCGAAGTGACATTTGGACCGGATCAAACCTGACCAAACCAAACGAAATGCAATATTAGTCCGATACTTGGTACTAAAATGTCTTTCATTATTAGACCGCAGTTCTCATGAGTTTGGTTCGGTCCAAACTTGATAAAACCATGGCACACCCACACCCACACCATTTGTAAAGTAAAAAAAAACAGGATAAAGTAAATGGCCTTGGAATTCTCATTGTAATTTTTTATAATCAAATTCTTACTATAGTGCCTTAACTTTTTCTAGTATTATTTTGGATAAAACGGTAGCAATTAAATAAATAAACAATAATAGAGCAAGAGTGTCAAACATATTTATACCGTGATTAAGTAAATGGTATGATTCAACTGAAGTATAACCGATTTATAACAATTTAGCAAAATACCTAGAAAGGTGACAAAAATATTAATAGCAAACGAATTTAAGCATATACATAAAAAAAACATATTTCAATACAATCTACTTACACAGTTACACAATTGCATTCAAATTTAAATAAAATATAATTTATAAAGAAAATAAAAATACTCATATTTAAATACAACATGTAATGTCAATACCCAAAATTGTATATTTGAATCCGAAAAAAAATATAAGTATGCAATATTTAGATTCATGAAATAAATCACAAATTAATATTTTTGTTAATTAAATTCACTAGATTGACATAAATTTAGTTTAGAGGCCGAAATCAGTCATACCAATCATACCTGTGGTATTTGAGTCAATTTTATTATTGACACCGATTATACGAGGTTCAACCTACCACATTCCACGATCGTGACAACAATCTAATAACCATATAATAGAGCAATGATGAGCGATACTAAGATATTCCGCCAAAAACATTGCTAAAATATTGAGTTGTATGATAGAAGGAAAAAAGAGAAAATTGAAAACAAATTATGTATCCGATCACAATTGCATGTCACCCGCAGCATTATGCGGGGCTTTATCTAGTGTTCTATAAACAAAAATCACGGGTTCATTGAGTATAGAAGGTGATGATAATACATCCATCTTTCATAAGTCAGCCTAGATTTGTACTAAAAGATAACAGATAAGTCTATTTGTAAATTCAGAGGGGACCGTGAATTTCAGACTATGGAACCAAACTTGTGTAATTCGGAACACATGGGATACTTAGAAAGAGGCCTTATGGATTGCATGGATCAAGAAATATCATATTATGAGAAGATGTATTGGGATTTAGATCCTAAGTCATTCGGCCCATGGATTTGAAAAATGACATTGAAGTATCCAGCATCATCCCAACCATTCATCGAAGGTATTCATCAAAAAAAAAAAAAAAAACCATTCATCGAAGGTACCATATATATTCTAGTTTTGCGCAAGAGAATAGGTTTGCAAACCTTACACGGTCTTTTACTTTTTTCTATATTTTTTAATGACATGTCAGAATGCAACATTCATGTCAGTGCGTCCACGTCAACATAATTGACCACGGGCTTTATCTAGTGTTCTATAAACAAAAATCACGGGTTCATTGAGTATAGAAGGTGATGATAATACATCCATCTTTCATAAGTCAGCCTAGATTTATACTAAAAGATAACAGATAAGTCGATTTGTAAATTCAGAGGGGACCGTGAATTTCAGACTGTGGAACCAAACTTGTGTAATTCGGAACATATGGGATACTTAGAAAGAGGCCTTGTGGATTGCATGGATCAAGAAATATCATATTATGAGAAGATGTATTGGGATTTAGATCCTAAGTCATTCGGGCCATGGATTTGAAAGATGACATTGAAGTATCCGGCATCATCCCAACCATTCATCGAAGGTACCATATATATTCTAGTTTTGCATAAGAGAATAGGTTTGCAAACCTTACCCGGTCTTTTACTTTTTTCTATATTTTTTTATGACATGTCAAAATGCAACATTCATGTCAGTGCGTCCACGTCAACATAATTGACCACGGGTCATAGTAAAAAGTTAACTATTATACTGTTTCTTTAAAAATTTTGTGGAATTATAATAATTTAATCCATTTGGATAATGCATCATTTGTAGAAGGCGTGGCTAGTGCCAGTGTGGCACCAACAAAACGTGGCTGCAGTCGGTCCTGCGTGTAACTTTCGTCCTGTTGCCATTATTGGCTGGTTGCAATTTTAAATTCCAATCAAGCGCACCTAACAAAACGTGGCTGCAGTCGGTCCTGCATGTAACTTTCGTCCTGTTGCCATTATTGGCTGGTTGCAATTTTAAATTCCAATCAAGCTCACGTAAAAAATATTCCAAAACACGAAAGAAAAAACAGAGAGAGAGAGAGAAAATAACCCTCGCTGCTCGTCTTCGTCTATAAAAAACCCCGCTTGCAGTGCATCCCAATTCGTTCCATCACCAAACCTTAAGAAACTCTTAGCCACAACCAAAGATATCAAAGAAGAAGGGGGAAAAAGGACAATGGCGGCGGCCTCCACCGAATTTGTCCATGCAACCTACGACCCCCTGGTGGCGGCGGAGCAGAAGGCCTACCTGGAAACCAAAGCCGGCGTCAAAGGCCTGATGGACGCCGGCATCAAGGAGCTCCCCCGCATCTTCCACACCCCGCCGCACTTCCTCCACGACAACCCCACCGCCTCCGCCGACAACCTCGACCTCACTTTCCCCGTAATCGACCTGGCCGGCGGCCGCAAAGACATCGTCGACAAGATCAGGGACTCCTCCGAGAACTGGGGGTTCTTCCAGATCGTCAACCACGGCGTTCCCCTAACCACCATGGACGAAATGAAGGCCAGCGTCCACCGTTTCTTCCACCAGGACATCTCCGAGAAGAAAGAATTCTTCGGGACCGATCCTACCGGAAAAGTCGTCTATCTGACCAACGAGCGGGACTGGAGCGACCTCATGCTGGTCGACATGGCCCCCGACCCTCCCAGGCCGGAGCAGCTCCCCTCGACGATGAGGGACGTGCTGAGGGAGTACTCCGACGAGATGTTCAGACTCGGAGACCTGCTACTCGAGTTGTTGTCAGAGGCTCTGGGACTGGATCCCGGGCACCTCAAGGGGATGGAGTGCGCCGCGAATCTGGGGATAGCGAGCCACTACTATCCGGTGTGTCCGCAGCCGGAGCTGACGCTGGGGATTACGAACCATACGGATCTGGGGTTTGTTACGGTGCTTTTGCAGGATCATGTTGGTGGGCTTCAGGTGCTGCACCGGGATTTCTGGGTCGATGTGCCGCCGCGGCCGGATGCTCTGGTGGTCAACATCGGAGATATGCTTCAGGTAATTGACCACTGGCTCTAATAACTCGAGTTTTTGAAAGAGATACTTTCTTGCGTTGTCCTCAAAGAAAGTCAACTAATAGATTTAAAGTTTGCATAGGGTTAGTTGTACCATGTGCTTGAAAGGCGAGAGAGTTAGTATTAGGGTTATGAGGATTTAAACAGGTGATCTAAACAAGGACAAATTAGCGTTCTTATACCAATATGTCGTAAACCGGCTGGTGGTACTAATGAATGACTCGAGTGATTGAGAAAGGTTCGTGTATAATTTTTGATCACTTTTATGATTCATGTTTTTGTAGCTGATAACTAATGACAAGTTTAAGAGCGTGAAGCACAGAGCGGTGGTGAACAGCGTGGAGCCAAGAGTATCCATTGGTGCGTTTTTCGGCTATGGGTCTCCGTTGCTTACGAGATCGTATGGACCGATAAAGGAATTGTTGTCGGAAGAGAATCCTGCCAAGTATAGAGAAACAAAGATTCGGGAGTTCTTCGTTGGGTCGTACAACGAGGGCATTGGTAACACCTATCTGCCGCTGCTTAAGATATGAGGAAGAAATTGTACCTCAATTTCCCATGCTTTGGTAATTGGATAACAGTACTTCCCTTTTGATGATGTGTGAATAAAAGAGATCCCAATTTCGGGATTCTTCTGTTGCGCGCCGTTTATTGTAACGAAAGCGGATTGATAATGGTGTTTTGTTATTTGATTTGAGCTAAATTTTTTGAAGCCAGATCTGGAAAGACTCGATCTCTTGATTTTACGTACCACTTGTTTTGAGAACCGACAGGAAAATGACAGGAAAAAGGGTAAGGGACACTAGGATCAGGACAAACAAAATTGAGCAAGCAAAGAAACAGGGACAAAGGGGAATGAAAGGAAACAAACTAACCGAAAATGTAAGGATTTAAAAATTGTAAAAAGAAGTTGTTTTGGAAAAATTAATAATAGTGTATTTTATGTTGATATCATAACTTCGACAATGAGGGAAGCACATTCACGTTTTTGAATTGAGTTTTTACCAATAACTGAATCCCTCAATATATTTCCCCCCCTAACCGTATCTGTTGGGCATGTGACTCGGATCTAGCCGCGCCAGGGAAGCGCACCGGCATTACCCCCGCTGCTGCCAGGCACGTCAGAGCGCAACGCGACCGAAGGCGCTCCAGCGCAAAGACCTCGAGTGCGGCAGAGGCCACACACGCAGGTGGAGAGATCAAGAGCTGAACGACGACGTCCGAACCAAGCGTTGACCAGACCAAAGAGCCGCAGAAAATGACGCCACATTTCCCGAGGAGTGGTCACATCATAGTCCTAGATACAATCATAGATAAACCCCCTTGTCCTAGGTAAAGGTGTGGCCTAAACCCCTGACATGTCAGTGGTCATGTCATTGTACCATCATGTAACTCACCCACCACCATGTAGCCTATAAATATGGCATTTACTCCGATGGTGAGGGGATGGCATTTTCGGAACTCTATCTCTACATTCATCAACTTCTCTCTCTAAGATACTGATTCTCTCAACCTCGCTCCCCCTGATCTTTGTTCTTGGTCATATAGTTGATTCCTATTGCTTACTTCCCTTGACCCACTTTCTTTCCCGAACCTCACTCCTACACTCAGTTAGGTTCAAACAATTGGCGCCCACCGTGGGGCCAAGCAGAGAAGCAAAAGAAAACCGATCAATGGCAGAGCATAACCCCAACTTACCTGACGAAGCAACGCCCATCAAAGCAATGACCAACCCAAGAGCGTTCGCGGAAACCAGCAACCTCAACGCGGTGCTCATCGAAGAAGAGGAGCCCGAGCTGACAGCCAAAGAAATGAGGCAGCTAATGGCGAAGCAAAACAACGTCATAGCCGACATGCAAAAACAAATGAGCCAAATCATAGCGCTCATGATGAGCAAAGAAGCCACGACAACAGTAGAGGCGACACCAAGCGCGCCGCAGCAAGCACCAGGAGAAGCGTCAGGGACCGCCCCGCTACCACAACCCGCGCCGACCGAATTCCCTGCGTGTGAAACGCAACAAGCTGAGCCGCCAGGCAGGACGGACCTCAGCTTCCTGGAGCAACACCTATCCCCGCAATACCGCTCCAACCCACCCAGAAAAGCGCTCCACCAACCGCTAAGCGCGGAAATCATGGCGGAGCACCTGAGCGGAATGCCACCCGCCCTCCCGGCGTATAACGGGACGACCGATCCTGAAGACCATGTGAGCACCTTCTGCTTGCGGATGCAACTCCAAACAAACTTCAACGCGGCGCTATGCAGAACCTTCCCGTCAACATTCTCCAGAATATGCCTCGATTGGTATAACCGACTCCCAAACGGAATCATCCGCTCATTCGAAGAGTTCATACTCTTGTTCACAACAAAGTTCGCGTCCCAAAAAAGAAGGCCTCTCCACCTCAAGGCGCTGATAGACATCAGTCAGAAGGATGGGAAAAGCCTGCGAGCATTCTATGCCAGATGGGGATGATCACCCCCACCAGAACAAGCTCCATCCTCCACCCCCACCAGAACAAGCTCAGCGGGGATGATCACCCGATAGGCGCCCGTCAAACGCCTATACCCCACTCAATGAGTCGGTAAAGAACGTGTTCCACGTTCTCCGCGAGAAAGGTTACAAGATCAATTGGCCCGCGCACTTGAAGGCCCCACCACACATGCGCGACCCAAAAAAACATTGCGACTTCCACAGAGAAACGGGCCACTGGACGGAAGACTGCAGGGAGCTACGATACGAAATCGAAGGCCTCATACGAAGAGGGTTACTTACGAAGTTCATCCGTGGAGCGGAGAACCAGCCAGAACAACCAGGAAACCCACCACCACCCCTGCAAGCTGACTACAATGAGGCTACTGCTCATATGTGGTACGCAAAGAAATAGGGTGGTGACAGTAGAAGGAGATCGCCCGAAGAAAAAGACCAAGCGCAAACGCGCGATAGAATGCGCAACGGCAGATGTTCAAACGAGGTGCAAACTGAGCTTCGACGACGCCGAATTAGCGCAAGGAATTCCGTCAGAAGACCCACTCACCATCACCGCTCTGGTGGCCGCCTGCAAAATACACCGCCTACTGATAGATGGGGGTAGCGCGGCAGACATCCTTTTCATGAGCACTGTCGACCAAATGGACATCGATCCGCTCTTAATCAAGCGCGCCCAAGGGAACTTGGTCAGGTTCTCTGGAACGAGAGTTCCAGTGATCGGTGTGGTAACTCTTCTTGTTGTTATCGGAGACCAAGAACCGCGCATCTCAAAGCAAGTCGAGTTCACAATAGTCGACTGCAACTCGTCCCACAACGGCATCTTTGGCCGACCATTCCTAGCAAAATTGATGGCCCACAACTGAAGGAATATAGGGAGTTATTTGCCTGGTGCACAGAAGACATGCCGGAAGTACCAAGGCATGTAGCCCAACATTGCCTCGCAGTCCCACCTAGCGCGCCTCCAAGACAGCAAGCGCGACGTAGCTTCACAGGCGACAAACTGAAAGCTATCGAAGAAGAGGTGGCGCGACTGTTGGCAGCAGGGTTGATCCGCCCGGTCAAATACCCGAAGTGGTTGGCAAACGTGGTCCTGGTGAAAAAGTCTTCAGGGGCCTGGAGAATGTGCGTCGACTATACAACGATAAACAAAGTGTGCCCGGGAGACCCTTACCCCTTGCCGCGCATTGACCAACTGATCGACGCCACCACCGATCACGAGACACTGTCTTTTCTCGGCATGTTCTCAGGATACCACCTGACTCGCTAAAACACAACTCCTAACAATGGCTAAGTGTAACCAATGAAAGGGACTGCAGTATAGTGGCTCAAGTAATAAATATCAAATCCACGGGTCTCTAGAGTTACTATTACTCAGCTTCAGTTCATTATCTAGCAAAACAGATTAAGATGAAAGAACTAAAACTACTCTAGCAAACTACAGTTAAAGTTAATCTAATTACAGGTTGGGAACTCACTTAGGTATGATTCCCCCTAGCCACTAGCCAGATTAACGATTGATGATCTCTAACTTGTTTCACTTTCATTCACAATGCGGAGAATCCTTGACTAGACCTTGAGTCTCGACTAAAGGAACAAGGCCCTCTTGAGTCAATTGCCTAGAGGGACGTATCCTTCTCTAGAACAATCGATCAAGGCGTTCTGAACTAGACTCCCTCTATCGAATGAGGTTCTCAATCGATACAAAGCAGTGAATCAACCCTCGACTAAAGCAATCGATCCACTACTATCAATCTATGATGCTCTATTGACCTAATCAGCTATTCGCTCTCATAGGATCAAAGCAGAATCAATAATCTCGACTAAAGCAGAATTGAATCGTGAAAACATGCATAGATTGAATATGAACTCAAGATTATCAAGTCAGAGTACTCATACAATCATCCAATCAAACAAACATGGCTAGGGTTCCTCAAAACCTAAGTGAAGGGAAGTTACTCCATAGAGAAGAGAGAGACTGCAGTAAGAATCTTCAGATGATCAGTCTTCAAGTCCGGGCTTGTTCCTCGAGCTTCCAAGGCGAAGAAATCCTCCAATTCCACTCCAAGAATGCCCTCAAATCGCTCTCTCTCTCTCTTTGGTTCGTCCCTTGGGTGTTTGGGATCCAAAACCCAGCTCTCCCCCTCAAAAACGCACAAAACAGGCTTTTAACAGCCTGCGTTCGCGATCCCCGGTCGAAATACCCGGTCGGGTATTTTGGGTCTCGACCGGGTATAATTGAGACGCACCGTTTCGGCCTCAGGGAAAATCCCCGGTCTCTTCCAATAATCCCCGACCGGGGATTTTAGCCATTTGCCCGGGCCCCCTTCTGTTTCTCATGGGTGCCCAAAATGATAAATACCCGGTCGGGTATTTTGCCACCTGACCGGGTATTTTCCTCCTGCAGCCCCTTAGTCCCAACTCGGCTCCTTTCGACCCAGAACTCGTTTCTCCGCCTCGATGTCGATGCCGGGTCCTGAAATATGACATAAACACACAACCTAGCGTGAAATCGGCTTAAAACACGAGATTCCACATCACAAACGGCTTCAGAATAGGAGTGAAAACATGTGTAATTATCGGTCTATCACCACCAAATCCCAATGTCCCGCGAAGATGAGGAAAAAACGGTTTTCATGACTCCATTCGGAAACTTCTGTTTCGTCGGAATGCCGTTCGGACTGAAGAACGTGGGCACGACATACCAAAGAATGATTGATTCGGTGTTCTCACAACAGATAGGGCGGAACATCGAGGCATATGTGGATGACCTCATCGTTAAGACCAAGGGTGGCAACTCGCATCTGGAAGATCTGCGCGAGACATTCGAGGCGCTTCGCAAACACAGTCTCCGCTTAAACCCACTGAAGTGTGTTTTCGGAGCAGAAGCAGGGAAGTTTCTTGGTTTCATGATAACCAAGCGCGGCATTGAAGTCGACCCGAAACAGATCACTGTAGTCCAACAGCTGCGGGCGCCAAGAAGCGCGTTGGAAATTCAATCTCTAAACGGCAAGATAGCGGTGTTAGGGAGGTTCATACCAAGGTCAGCCGACAAGTGTGCGCCTTTCTTCAGGACGCTTAAAAACGGCACACGATTCGCATGGTCTAAGGAGTGTGAAGAGGCCTTCCAAGAGCTTAAAGCGTATCTTGTATCCCCCCTGTACTGTCTACTCCCAAGCTTAATGAAAAACTTTTCCTGTATTTGGTTGTGTCAATGAGAGCTGTGAGCGCAGT